TTGGATTTCATTAGTTAAGGTAACATTCAAAATTTCTTATAACCTGAAAAGTCTACAACACTTAGCTATTACCTTTAAGTAGATTCTTTAAAAATAACCGGGGGCTGGAGAGATGGCTCAGAAGTTAAGAGCACTGACTGTTCTTGCAGAGGACCTGGGTTCGATTCCCAGCACCCACATGGCTGCTAACAATGCTCTGTAATTCCAGTTCCGAGGATCCAATGCCCTCTTTTGACCTCCTTGGACACTGCAACATACATACAGGCAATACACTCATACACATAAAATAAATGAAAAAAAAAAAAAAGGAATGAAGAACTGATGTGAATAGAAAACAAAAACACACACCAGAATATCTGGATCCTTCCCATCCCCATACATTTTCAATGAGACATCCACTGCACTGAATACACATAGCAGCGCATGACTAGAGCATGAGCGATCCTATAATGTTTCAGTATACAAAGTAGACAACCAGGAAGGTTATGGGAATAAACTAAAATACTGTCCCATTTTTAAATTTCATCTGCGAATACAGAATCCTACTTTTTACCTCATGTTTCCTCCGTCAATGAAAAAGAGGCAAAGAAACTTGACAAACATCCTATGGGAAATCTCATTCTGGGAATTATACAAACTAAAATAGAGTTCTAGAACTTGGTCTGTAAATGAAGTTCAAGAATTCAAAAACAGATAAAAATATTGCAAATGTCTCAGTTGCTGATATACTATAACACATGCTATACATGTAAAATTGGATAAATAATAAGGACTAACCATAAGGCCATGGATAAAGACAATAACTATTTTATGTTCTTTCCAAGAACTACAAAGTAGCTTCCTGCCTGCCTTATCTGGGTGACTACCAAGCAGCTGCTCACTTCTCACCCAAACTTCTACCTGGGTAGAAACATGCTGTCTTCTGAGAGTATGGGCTGGAGTAACAGAAAAGCTTTAAACTGGGGCTTTCTATACAAGAGAGTATGTCCAGATAGATCTCACTTTATACAAAGAGCACTAACTCCAAAAATGGGACTTTTTCTTTCTAGACTTTTTTCCTAGTCTGTGTTCTAATTTCTTTTAAAAAATATTCAAAATATCCTTTAAGGGCTCCTACTTAAGGATACAAAAAAGAAAAAGCCAACAAATTCACAAAGTTGTGGAACATCCCTTCCCCCATCCCTAATCTCCACATGGACCACCAGTTTTTAAAGTCAGGCAACTCTGGTCAAACGGGCCTTCGGCAAAGTACCAGGATTTCTTAGGACAAATTGAAAGGTACCCAAGTGAAGAAATTAACCAAGCAATAGAACACACACACATAAACTAAAAACTGGTGGAGAAAATAAATGTTTTAAAGTCGCATTGTTAGCACTCTCCCTTCAAAAATGAAATACAGATCACTTGGGAGGGAAGGAAAAGGCAGTGCCATGCTACCAAACTAATCATTTAATAACGGGCTCTAGTGTCCCCAATTTAAACATCATCTAGGAAAACCTTTTATGAATCAATTTTCACTAAAATTATAGACAAAAATTAAAGTCTCCCCTCCCAGCAGCTTTTTTCCATTGTTAAAGAGCCTGGACAGTTAAAAAAAGAAATAAGTATGTTTTGTTGTTGTTGTTGTTAAATCAAAACTTCTGTAATCCTGAATCAAACAAATTGAAAATAATTTTTTCCCTTAAGACAATCAAGAGGTCCTGGTAGTCCATTACTGTAATCTCAGAGCTTAAGAAGTAGAGGCAGAAACAGGAGTTCAAGGTCACTCTTGGCTACATAGAGGATTCCAGGTCAGCCTATGTGACCCTGATACATAAT